AACGAGGAAACCGCATTCACCAGAAAAAATTATAACCCTGTAGTCGTCGGGCCATTAAGTTAATGAAATCTAGTCTCGTCTGACCGTAAAAAAAAAATGTCCGTGTTTCCGAGATTTTTATCGTGCCCATGATGAACGCCTATTGTGAGATGACATTATAATAATATTACATTAAATGGTTTGAATGGAACACAAATTATAAAATATGTGTACCTATAAACGGACAGTCCATACAGACCCGACTTAGCGTTGGCGTTCGACAATATATGTATTGTCCCGTCGAGATGTCAAAGCTTCAACAATACCAAAAATAGGTTTAAAAAATATTTGAAAACGACCGCTCTGCATACATTACATTACAATGGCAATTTCATTATAAATAGTGCTCAGACTTATTGTTGCGATCACATATTTTTTTTTTAATTTAAGTTACAATTAAATTGTGTTAGTTGCCTATGCAATTTGAAAAAGGATTGTACGCTCTTTGTAAAAGGATTATACGCTGTCTTGTTACATTGAATCTATACATAAACACGAGCTCCACTAAGGAAAGTATAGAGTCTGGCTTCATGAAAGTCAACCAAAGTTGTATATTATTGTGTATTACAATAAACGATGCTGCCAAATAATGTGCAAACAGTTCACCCTCCATGTGGCAGTGTCATAAATAAAAAAAAAAAAAGTTGCCCATAAAATATCAAAAATGTTTAGATTTGAATATTAGGATTTTTTTACTTTTATCATATTAGATGACATAATTACTTGCCTTTACGATGTTTTTTTGCATATGTTTGATAATGTCAATGCATATTTGTTGATGAAAATAACTTTTAATAATAAATATAGTAAATTAAAAATGAATAAATTGATTTGATATTTTAATCTAATTTCAATATAATGATAATCATATTGCTATTTTATATATATATTTTATATTTAAAGTGTATCTAAATTTAAAATAAATTTATTATAATTGCTTATGCAAAAAAATGCAAATTGAAAAATAATAAAAATAAATCAGGTGCGTATTTTTGCGTTTTTAGATTACATGTTCCATGCATATTTTATTTTCAGCATACTTATTTATGTTCGTGGTTCGACAACTAATAAATTTCAATTTGTATAATATAATATAATATTATACATTATACATTAGCAAAGTGCTTAAAAGTAGGTACATAGTTTTTTTTATTTTATTTAAATTAAACTTAAAATATACAAGTAAGTAGCAAGTACTCATTTTTAAATTATGAAAATAAGATTTGTTATGCTACAAGTAATAATAATTTTATATTCTGATAAATTCTAATATTTTGATACTGGAATAAATTATAAATTAAGTTTGTTATCTTTACACCTTACAAACATATATATTTACAACATTAGGTATAGATTATAATATGAGATATTTGAATATTTTGAACTTATATGTAATGAAGTGAAAAATATTTTTTTCTTTTGAACAAAACTTGAAAAGTATTACATAATACAAGTAGATAGAATAAATCCGTTTTCCCATTCCATATACCTGTTGTTCTTAATAAATCGAGCCGGAAATCGAGCCTTGTTATGCCTACCTATTTCTTTAAATATTATAACTATTAGGAGTGGACAAGAGTTTGACATAAAAATAAAGATCTTTTCAATAGATTTACTAAATCATTAATATTTTGAGTAGGTGCCTACCTATTTTCAGTATTATAACATTTTGCAGGGTAAATGGACTACTTTAATATCGCTCGACATGATATATCATTGAGTCTGTATTATAGTATGATAATGTATACTGGAATTCACAGGATAATATAATAATGAGTGTTACGATCCTGGCCCATTTCGATGACGAAATATTATCATCACTGAAAGAGAAAATTCTTACGTGCTTTATTTTTTTTATCAATATTTATATTATTATGCATTAAAAATCATAATAATATAAAGGATGAAAAAATAATAATACTATAATATAAAACATTGGCCTTGACGGGCGAGAGTAAAAAATATTCTAGAAGATGACAACAAGTCGATTACTTATCTATCTTGTAGGCAATATAATCATAACTTCAATAATATGTTATGAAATCTGAATTTCCAAATGTGTGTGTGTGTGTGTGTGTGAGAGAGAATGAAATATAAACCGTACAATAAATTACGATGCGATATTTATCCAGAATGAGTCTGTCCATCGGACTGCAGGAGGGTCGAGTGATTTTGGAATACGATATCATTTGAAGTTCTCGGTCAGGGTCAACGGACCAAAGTTAACGTTTTTTTTTTATATAAGTTATTATTATTTTTTTTTTTTTCGTACAGATATGAATACTCGTCCGGTTAGGTTAATTTATCGTTTATTAGACCGGTTCTTTGGAAGTGCATGTAAAGCGAGCCTACGCGCGAATATCGAGTAAATAACTTTGCGGTACGGGTAATATTATAATTCAATATATTTATAATATTATGTTCTTGACCGCCACGATTTTATAAGCCCGTGCAGCGTTCAACATGTCGACGTCCCCCTTAAACCCATTAAATATAAATCCGATAATCGTATTGTATATATTTTGTATATGTATACACACCGGATAAAATAAATGTCAACATCGTAATATATAATACCGTGAGAATATCCGTACCTACCTTTATATGAACCAATAATCATGTCATCAAACAGTGGTTTTTTTTTTGTTGTAACGTCGGTACATATAGGTATAGTTACTTTATTTTCATTTGTTGGGCTTAATCGTTTCTTCGGTGTTAAAAACTGTTGGTATTAATTTTGTAAAATTTTGCTCTACGTTAGCGCTATAACGATACATTAATATAGATGTGCCCATAAATTTATATTTAAATAAAAAAACATATTTTTGTTAATAATCTACATATTTGATTTAAATGAACATACATTCTAGGTTTTAAAGGAAGAAAATTAAAATAATATATGTTTATTACAATTCGCGATGGACAAAAACGAATTCGAAAACTCTTCTTCTTTCTAACGATTTCATGTGAATTCAAAACCCTCTGCATATTACTATTATTATTTAATACTAGGTACTAATATGATATAGTAATATAACATCACGGATCCACGATATTTGAATGAAGTAAAATACTAATTTGTCATCATTAATTTATACATCGAAAAACGTATTGAATCTCCATGCTTTGTGGTTAGTTGTGAGTTCAATAAAATTTTTCAAAAAGTTTGGCTTAAAATATAATAATAAGAATTTACTAATTCTGACTAATTGACCAAAGTATAATATTGGTACCTATGTATATACGATACACACAAATAGTAAATACTACCCATGGTATACAAAAAGTTCGGCCATAAAGAAAAGTATTTTTTTTTAGCCGTAAAGTAAATAGTATACCACATTACCATACTATAACTACAGTACTGAGTACCTAGGTACATTATGAAATGTAATTTTAATTCTAAATAAACGTTAACATTTTTTTATATTGAAATGATTTTTAACCTAAATATTAAAAACTCATATTACCTATTGCCATTTATATTTTGTATTAGGCATTGAGGTTTGTTTTCTACATTCCAATGGGAATATATAATTATTACTGATTTTGATTAAAATTGATTTGTAAATATGTAATACCTAAATGGGACTATGGGAGTGTACAAATTATATAATATATTAGGTCGAACATTGTTTTGCTAATATATATTTAAATTTAATCGCCAAACGACAACTGACAAGTGCTAATTGCTGTATAGTATGCTGTAATATATAACACTTTTTATTCGCATTTGCATAAGGGTATGCCTATAGTATCTTTCGCCTATGCATGTGCTTATTAATAATAATTTTATTGTACCTAATAGAGATAGGTACATGACAATTGCTTACAAGATACTTACTAGTGCCGTTTGTATTAAGTATAACGTATTTATTGTCTATTGATTTCGTTCTATATATTTCATATATCTGCAGCTATCTGCAATATAATTAATTGCAAAGTATTTGATAACAATTAATAATATATTTCGATTAGAATTTAGAAAGTCTTATAGCATATAATATCTATCACTGTGGATCACATAATAATTACTTATCTTATGATAGGTAGTTCATTCTTGACTAGGTAACCATTATTAAAATCTAAGTCCTTTAAACCAATTATATCAATAGCTAATACATAATAAAGTATTTGTTTATTATCGTTTATTTCATAATCGATTATCACCATTTGTTGTCATATTCAGAGATTATATGACGTATTTATTACTTTTGATATAATGTAATAATATGTTTATATATGTTTATATATAATAATATTTAAGTTTTTAATAGCATAATGTATATTATTTAGACCGATATAAAACAATTTAAAATATAGTATAAGTGCATGTGAATTATTGTAATTTTTTATTAAAAATATTCTGAATCGATTAAATATTAACTGTGCGAATATTTCATTATGACACAGTTCGAATAATTTGAACTATAATGCTTTAAGTTACGCACCCATCCAGTAATTAACGGGACAGGCACAATTTGTTAATTAGGTACATAAATGATGCGTTCAAATGGTTCAATATATTATAATATGTTAAAATACAAAATGTTTAATTACTACTATTTAACGGTTATTTATCAATTAATTTGTTTGCAAGTACAATTTGATTTATTGACAAAAAATAACAAATTAATAGGTCGCGTATACAGTCGAAGGTACATAATTATTTTATTGAATTAAAATAATGTCGTCCGTTGCTACAATCGAGTTTTAATAATATTATATATATTATAATTCAAGCAGTTATCGATTTTTACACTTTGATGGAGATCATGTCAAGAATCTATAATTTTTTTGTTTTTCTCCATACCTACCGTAAGTCCTTAGCTTGGTTTTACCGGAGCGAATCGTTGGGCAATTACCTCAGCTCGATGGTAGGGAGTCGAACTCCTTTATAAGCCTTGCATGTAGACGTTCCTCGTACACTTCACTGAACTGGTCCTCTCAAGTCTGCAATCATGTTCAAGGTAAGCATTATTCGTAGTAATTTTGATATTTACTATTTTACAAACATTTAAAAAAAATATTTTAACTGTTTCAACATAATTCAATTTTCAAATACCACATTGATGGCGATAAACTTATACAACTATCGTAGGTTTTTACAGTTTTTACTCGCAACTCTAAGATATTCATTTGTGTATGTCATTAATAAAATTCATAGTATTCAAAGTTAATTCCAAACATTTATTTAAAGCCTAAAGGTTCATAATAAATTAATACTTTTAAACACAAAATTCTTTATCGTAGTACCTAGGTATAGTAATTTATTGTTTTTTAACCTGTGTTTTACCTGTACCTTGTTGGTACTTGCGTATAGCTTAAAGTTTTAAACATAAAATGAATCTAACCATAGCTAATTGTTAAGCCAGTATAAATGTAGGTACAAGAACAGTTTATCATATTGAATTAAGTTTTTTTTTTTAATATGCGTACATAAATACATTTTTAGTACATTAAAAAGAAAACAATAATTGTTTACAATATTTTATACCATAATACGTTTTACGAAGAAACGTATAATATATCTATGTAAAATACTAAAATGTCCATTCAATCAATTTAATTCAAGTCTTAAAATTCGCAATGTAAAATCTTGTCTAATTGTACACGATATTTTTACTAGCCTTAATTGGGAGCATAGTGGCAATAACCTTTCTTAACCTCGAATTTTTAATCTGTTCAAGACTAATGCGTGTAATAGGTATTAGTATAATATAATTTACGCCCAACATGTATAATAATCATGACCCTCCATTTATTTAGTCGTCTTAGAAAAAAAAACCCGTTTCATTTTGTCAGATCAACGAACCAAAATTCAAACATTTTTTTTTTTACATGTAATTATACTAGTGCTTCATGTCATTTGTTATTTATTTATTTCTAAATAATTTTTGGATTCTAATCATTACCCATAACCGAATTACTCTTTTATTATTTAATATATTTTAATGTGATGAGTTTTTGTATTTTAAATGTAAATGGATATTAAGTTTTCATTTATTTGTTAATTTTTCTCATTAAAAATAATAATTGTTATAACAAAATACAAAATCTATATAATATATAAAATTACTTGTCCTGAGTTATATATTATATTATATAATTCATAATAATTAATACTTAACTGTTTATATAATAAATCGTATTTTTAGAATCCTATAGCTCTATATGGACAAATAAAAATATTTTGACATTATGAGACTAACATTTTGAATTATGTACCAAGTTCAAAATGTTTATCATTAATTTATGTCACTGTAGTGGACATAAAAAGTGTGTTATCCGTGTTTCTTTATTTATGTAGTAATGATTTATTCGTAACGATCGCCTATATAGAAACTTATAACTTAGGTTCAAATTTGAAGGCAATATTATAATCAATAAAAAAAAGGTGGGTAAGTGGATGTCGCTCTGCTGTACAGTAGGTTACAAGTGGGTCACTGTATAATGGATGCTATTAAATTTGAATTCAATGATACAATATCATTGTATAAGAAAAACGATTCTGAGCGAAGACGGTATGTCAGTCTAGGTTTAATACAAATTATATACATATCTATGGTATTAAAAAAAAAATTGACCTATAATAAATTCCAAATTAATCATATCACATTATCACAATATCCATTAGGTACTTATAACACGTTATACATCAACATCAACAACAAACCCTGATACTATCATATATATATATATAATAGTACACTTTAGAAGTTTCAAGTAGGTACCCACGAATAATATTATATAATCACAACAAAATAACTAGGTTTTTTAATATGTAATTTCGTCCAAATTTGAACATAAAATGACTATAAAAGTAAACTGTGATTGTATATTTTTTAGATTTTTCGGTAAGAGAATTAACTACTTACGTGGAATCTTGTTTTAAATTTTCAATCCTTAGCTATAAAAACTGAACATTTTATAATTTATTAATTACGATGATTAATAATTTTCGAGATTTTGAAAAATTCTATCAAAATTCGATGTTAAAATGCTTATAAAAAAATATTGTGCCTATGTATTTTTAATATTTTTCAACTGATATTGTAACAATATATCAGGAGCCTTGTATTAAATTTTTACACTTTTTGGCCCAACAGATAAAACTTAATTGATATTTATAGAAAAAAAAAACTAAAAAAATTGAAAACTGAAAATGTCCGTAAACGGCTCAAAAAGTGTCAAAATATTTTCAAAATTGTAGGGTGTATAGGAAATGCTAATATAAACATTCAGTGAAATTTTCATGTATCTACAGTAATTCGTTTTTTAATTACAACAAAAAAAGGAACTTACTTATAGGTAAAAATGGCAAAAAAAGAGAAAAAAATGTCCACTCATTATCTTAGAAATTAAATAAAACACATTTTAATTTAAAAGTTATTTTTCAATCGTTATCGAAAAAAAAAAGCATATACCTTCAAATCTTAACCCTACTTATATAAGACATCTTTTTAAATAATTGGTAAATAATTTTTCTATAACAATACGTTCTGTTTGACCGAACATATTAACGTTTTAATACGTACAAATCTAATAATAATAAATATTGAATCAAGTGAACATTTTTGAATAAGCTCGCATATATTATATAGGCTATATGGCTCAAAATGGTTGCATTAATTAACGCAGTAGTTTCATGATCTGATATAATTTCTACATATCTAATATTGCTCTGACAAAATAATCATAGTTCGATATAGGTATTGTTAAAAAGTGTGTTTTCTATTCGATACATTGTTTGTCACCGTGTCCGGGACGAAAGAAGTGAAGGGAATCTAGGATGCCGTGTATAAAGTATTCCACATATAATTAAAGTCTTTCATAACTATAATATTATAGTTCTTTATAATGATACTCACTGTACCGGGTACCAATAGGTAGTTGGAGCTAATAATATTGTTATAGGTACATACATCAATTACGCAATAACTGAAAATCAGCTTGACATGGATTTAATGCTCTATTAATAAGAAGGATTGCAGATACTCATCAAATATTATGTAGATAGCTTGTAATTTTTTCGTCAACTGAACAAAAAATAATATAATCTTTTGCTATGGCCTATGAAGTAGTGATAATATTATCATATGTATTATGTATTACATATGTAAGTTTATAAGGACTGTCGATTATATTATAGCTAGTTATAGGTATACACTTATACAAAAACGGTTTGTAATGTATTATGTTATTTTAATATTTTGCAGTTTATTACTCTATCTTGCCTGTTGGCAGTCAGTGTTCAGTGCAAGATCTCACCAAATCAGGCTGTGCCATACTACCCTCAACCGTACCCGGCAGCATATCCTAATGTCTATCCCCAAGTTTACCCTGCACAACCGAAATACAATGTGCAGCCCGCCTATGTAGCAGCCGCCGCATATCCAGCAGCCGCATATCCAGCAGCCGCATATCCAGCCGCCGCATATCCAGCCGCCGCATATCCAGCTGCCCCTGGAAACTACCGACAAGTCTTTGTACCGTAAGTGTAATATTTTCAAATACGAATCACCAACGAGATACATTTAGAGCGTACCTGTTATGTAAGATAATATTATATCAATATTATACCTACCTAATTTTATTAAAGTCACGCATTCAAATAAAAAAAGGTGGGTAAGTGGATGTCGCTCTGCTGTACTGTAGGTTACAAGTGGGTCACTGTATAATGGATGGTATTAAATTTGAATTCAATGATACAATATCATTGTATAAGAAAAACGATTCTGAGCGAAGACGGTATGTCAGTCTAGGTTTAAGACAAATTATATACATATCTATGGTATTAAAAAAAAAATTGACCTATAATAAATTCCAAATTAATCATATCACATTATCACAATATCCATTAGGTACTTATAACACGTTATACATCAAGATCAATTACAAACCCTGATACTATCATTGATATATAATAGTACACTTTAGAAGTTTCAAGTAGGTACCCACGAATAATATTATATAATCACAACAAAATAACTAGGTTTTTTAATATGTAATTTCGTCCAAATTTGAACATAAAATGACTATAAAAATAAACTGTGATTGTATATTTTTTAGATTTTTCGGTAAGAGAATTAACTACTTACGTAGAATCTTGTTTTAAATTTTCAATCCTTAGCTATAAAAACTGAACATTTTAGAATTTATTAATTACGATGATTAATAATTTTCGAGATTTTGAAAAATTCTGTCAAAATTCGATCTTTAAATGCTTATAAAAAAAAACTGTGCCTATGTATTTTTAATATTTTTCAACTGCTATTGTAACAATATATCAGGAGCCTTGTATTAAATTTTTACACTTTTTGGCCCAACAGATAAAACTTTATTGATATTTGTAGAAAAAAAAACTAAAAAAAATTGAAAGCTGTAAATGTCCATAAACAGCTCAAAAAGAGTCAAAATATTTTCAAAATTGTATGGTGTATAGAAAATGCTAATTTAAACATTCAGTGAAATTTTCATGTATCTACAGTTGTTCGTTTTTGAATTGCAACAAAATAAGGAAATCGCTACATGAGTAATCGAGTGAAAATCCAATGTTGTAAAAATTTGAATTTCAAACGCTCATAAAAATTTAATTTGACTGTCCGGTAGAGATTTTTTTATTGATAAAGGTAGATAATCTTATAAGGAATCTTGTGTTTCATTTTCAAATCTTAAATTTAAAAAGAAAAATTTTTACGAATTCTTAACTCAAAATAATTTGCTAATTTTCGTGATTTTTCCATATTTTGTCAATTTTTGAACTTTAAATGCTTATAAAAAAAAATTGTGACTAAGGATTTTTAATATTTTTCATCTGCCTTTGAAACAACATATTAGGAGCCTTCTATTAAATTTTCAAGCTTTCGCAACCAACAAATACAATTTTATTGATATTTTTAGAAAAAAAACTAAAAAAAAATGGAAAATGAAAATGTCCCTAAACAGTTCAAAATAAATCAAAATATTTTGAAAATTTTATCGTGTATAGAAAATGCAAATATAAACAACCAGTGAAAATTTCATGTATCTACGGTCATTTGTTTTAAAGTTACACCAAAAACCAAATTCGATTTTGTCAAAAACTGATTTTGCGTAAAAATTCCCGTTTTTCCTTAATTTTTATGTTGTTTTTTCCCGGCGCTTGTGAAAACTATTGGGAATTTTAAATTTTGACCTCCCCAATGCACCAACGATATTCACTTTCCAATCGAACAAGATACTGAAGTCGAAAATCGAAGCATTATTTCGACTACTTATCGTGTACACAGACACAAAAATAAAAAAAAAAAAAAAAAAAAAAATAAAAAAAAAAAAAAAAACACACATCATTGTAAAATCAATACATTCATCGTTTCACTCAGAATCTAAAAGGTCGAAAACTGTATTTAGTTATATTATAGACATATACTTAATAGGTAACAATACACTGTACAGAATTATTATGACTTATAAATATAATCATTATAATTTAATCAGCTTCAGCCTTTATATTATAATGCTTAGTCACATATATTATTTGCAATTAATAAGCTCAGTGATGTATTGGAGGGTACCTATACGCGGGTAAACGTCGTATACCCAGATCCCTATTTTTGGATTTATGCGTATACCTTTAAAAAAAATAGTCTTTTATGGGTATATATGCACGCTTCCAATTTATGACAGACAATTCAGTCATATTAACACCGAATATAAGTTAAAAATAATAATAATAATAAACAAATTAATACAATAATATTTCATTATGACATTAAGTACACTGTCCAAAAATAGCCCCCTACCCGCATGAAGTTCGATTTAATTTTACCCGACTTCAGGTTCTTGCGAAGACGATATAAAATTGCCGTTAAAATGATTCATAATAAATAATAATATTTAAATTTTGATATGTTATTAACATAGATTAATAGATAATATAGACTAATAAATACTGTATATTATCTAAAGTTGTTTATTATTTTATTAGTATAGTCCATTATTTTACCGTACAATTTTTAATAAGTTTGATAATAAATAGTTGTATTCTTTATGATATTTATGGATTGAATTAATTTAAAAAAAACTACGTTAGATACTGATACTTGGTACATATTACACATAGTGGCGTATATATGAATTAATTTCGGGGGGGGGAATATAGGGTGAACCCTCCCTACATAATATGTCACTGCATGTACATATACACATGAACGGTTAGTGCTTGTAATAATAAGATTATTAAATATTAAGTGTAATGATTTTTCGAGCGAAGAGATAAAACTGTTTAAAGGAGTTATATATAGGTATGTATATAAGTATATTCAACTATTTTTAGGTGCTTATACACTTAAATTTATTTACCAATACACCACTGAATAAACTGTATGTAAAATAACAAAATATAAAAAAAAGCAACTTAAAGGCTTAGTCAAACACAAAGTGGTCTGTCCGCGCGGAAACTGTAAAATAATACAGCGTACCCATACACCATGGCAGACCGCTTTCTGTTTGACCGAGCCTTTAAAGTTTAAACATCAAATAACTAATAAGTAATAAGTAACAATAATATTGTCAAATTTATATAATCAATACCAAAATTTAAAAAACAGAGTCAAATAGCGTCAGATATAATAAATTAAAACTTTGTCTTAATAAAATATTATTCATGTCTTTTTTTTAGAGCTAGTCCTGCCTACAACCCTTATTATTACGGATACGCTCCTTACCCAGCCTATGCTCAAGCTCAGCAGTACCCATATTCATACGTTCAAAATGATGGAGCTGGAGGTGGATCTGGAGCTGCAGCCGGAGCTGGAGCTCAAGGCTGGGCAGAATATTTATCAAACAGTTTCTGGAGCTACGTGCCGTCTTACGGCACCCAAACGGCTTCGGAAACAGAAGAACCCGCGGCGGCTGCTGCAGGTGCTGAAACTCCATCAAGTAAGACAATAAAATATAGAAATAAACAATATACAAAATTCAATATAATATTATACATGTTTTTCATTCGTAGCCGCCGAAGGTCCAGCCAAGGGTGACAAACCTGCAGCTACACAAGAAGCACCCAAATCAGGAGAAGTCGCTAGCGACGAACAATCTGCTCAATCGCCGTCCAAACAATTCGCTGCTTATCCTCTACCGTACTTCGGTCAACCACAATTTTACGGACAAGCAGTCTACGACCCAGCAAAGTTAAACGCAGCGAATAATGGAGCAGTTTCCAGTTTCCTTTTCCCCAAAAATATTCAATCTGCAGTGTTCCAACAGACACCACAACCGGTAATGGAATATAATTATTGTTAAATCACGTATTCACGTACAGCTCACCCCGCATAAATTTCTTTTTAACTATATACTCTAATATCGTCTGTGTAGTGTTCTATAGATATATAATCATATACTTATGAATTAAACATTACGTTTACACCAATGCAATTAAATGTTTTTTACGGTGTCCCAAATATCTACAGAGATTTCTCTATTAATGATAAAAAATGATATTGTTATTAATCATTGTTCAATACCTATACACACTTATTAAGTAACTGTTATTGACAATTTGTTTTTATTTTAATAGTTTGCTGATCAAAAATACTACCAGGCCCCACAGGCCAACCAAGGTACCGCAGCACAAGCTTACCAGCGGTATTTACAGTTCCAGAAACAACACTTACAGGGACAATACCAACAAGGACAATTCCCACATCAACATCAAGATCAACCATTCCAACCACAACCGGAACAATTCCAACAACAACCGGAACAATTCCAACAATACGACCAACAACCCCAGAAAGACGAATCCTCTGTTGTCGTAGATTCGAATGTCACCGGACTCCAAGTCAATGCCGAAGGCCAACAGCAACCACAATCTAAAGTAGCCACAGGTTCGAACTAATTTGGAGCTATGACCCGACTGAATTTATTTTATACAATTTTCCAATTAAAAATATAATTTTATAATTTTATTTTATATAATAAATGTTGTTTTAATCCAATATGAATATAATAGTAACATGAGCCAGTTTGATGCACATATTACTATTATTATATAGAAGCGGAGTTAAAATACGAATTTATTGTCAAATAATACATATTTCGAAGATATCCTTGTATTTTAAAACTACTTTATTTTCAATGTGAAATACAAAATTATTGGTTTATGAAAAAAATGTATTTATTTTGCTTAAATAGTTAGAACCCTTTAACCAATTTATACTTTTCATGCAACAATCTTATGTCAATTTCTGTATGACATAATACATTGACATCAAACATTGCTTTTAAAAACTTGCTGAAGAGCATACGTCATATTGTTGCTGTACAGGGTCGTATACAGTGATGTTGCTTGATATTTAAATAGGTTTGAGTGTTGTTAAAACTTTACATTAAAAAAACGTCAGGAATTTGGATAACGGGGTAACTGGGATGCATCCCAGGGAATAACGTTAGAACGTAGTAATTTGATTTTTATTATTTTCTATATAATATAATAGTAATAAGTACTACGCATAACTATGGTGTAACTTATTATATTTATATTATGTACCTATAACAGACTATAATGGCTATAATTTACAACTTCTTTCATTAAAAAATTATTATTAAAATGTGTATCATATGTATATAATAGGTCCAACGATAGCAGTGGCTCAGCCACAGGGTATCGCGTTCGCCGGAATCGGTGGCCGGGCCGGAGCTGGACCTATAGGCACAGCGATTGTAGGCAAAAATGCTACAGCAATTTCAGAACCAAGCGCCACTGCTATATCACTGGACTTAACACCAACGATTAACTTAACACCAGTTCACAAGCAAACGACAGCCTACGTGGCAAGGTATGCACCCGAACTGGGAGTTTACAAAGTGGCTGAAATCAAATAATTGTAATACACCAGTAAAATTATAATTTGTATTTAGTACTTAGACACATTTGTGATAATAATTTTATATTGAAATACTGATTGTACCTAATTATATTTAAGGCCAGTGAAATAAAACGCCAAAACTTGCCTGGTTTTATAATAATTTAACTATATAAGTAATACCTACCTACATATTTATTTATTTTTTATTGATCTTTATTCTGCATCAACATAAGCGTTACGTGAATGAAATTAACATTAGGTATAGTAAAATATTAGTATGTATTATTAATAGATTATAATTAAATAATAAAAATAAATATGACAAGATTCAAATTTAAATCAAACAAAATTACGTAATTATAGAAGAATAAGGATTTTTTTGTGATATTAATGATATTATTGTAGATGGTAGATCTATCGATATTTATTAAGTATGTATAATTTTTGATCATTATACTTTATCAAATATAGGCAGGTAGTTGGATTTTGTTAGAAAACTGAATTGTATTATATTCATTGGCGGGCCTAAACTGTCAACTATGAGATATTTGGAAGGAATAATACATGGAGTTCACAATTGTGTTCTTTGTCTGTTGTCTATTGCCTGGATGACTGAATTCATTAAATATGTGTAGGTATTGTGTATGATTGTTGAGTGGTGTTGCCGCTCGTTTGACATTAGGCAGGGTAGCATTTTGCCTTCTAAAATCCAAGACGTGGATTGTCAAATTCTGGCCCGATTAAATTTTTGATACTGATATATGTACCTACTTGGGTTTTTATTTCATCTTATATGTAAGCGATTGTTTTGTACTTTAGTTTAATTTATTTGTTTAGCGATTCACTTATATTTGACAAAAGAGCTGTTGTTTTGTTTAATCTGTTTTTTTTTTAAATCTGTGAATGAAGAAATGTCAATAAATGGTATATCAGGTCAAAAAATGCCTAAATTTGCTCGTTTGTCTGCCATTTAGATGCGCACTACTACATTTATCAATGTGACATTTTTTTTTTTTTAAATAATAGTAGTAACGATTCAACAACCACAATAATATAGACAATATAACATACAGCCAAGCTATATTTTAGAAGTGTACTCAATTTGACGGAGTTAGAATCATACTCCTGACGATTAACTATACATACCTACTATTTATGTTAACCACAAACAGTGTTGGGTAGTAACGTAACGAAAGTAACGAGTTACTGTAACTGCACAATTCAATTTTCAATGGTTTTGAAATTTGAAATGTCTAATTGCACCGTAAATCACGAGAACAGTTGATTAAATTTATTATTTAATTTGATTCCTTTAAATAGGTTTCCTATGAATATAGCTTTTGCGGAAGACTAAATTTTATATGATCCTAATAACTATACAGGTTTTATAAAGAATTTGCTTGTTCAATTTACCTGCAGAAGATAATTGCCAAGAAATTTAAAACATTTTTTTTATTTTTGTAACGAGAAAGTAATGAGTTATTACTATTCTATTTGAAAAGTAAAGTAATTTCATTACAATTTTACTTGAGTAACGAGTAAAGTAACTTAATCACATGTATCTCTTAGTAACGAGTAAAGTAACTTAATTACTTTTTAAAAGTAACTTACCAAACACTGACCACAAATAATAGCCTTCGACTAATCCACGATACTATATATTATGTCATCGTGTTACCGGGAAATAATGATCATCTATACCAGGGTAGTCCAACCCACGGCCCTCAAAACCTTTTTTTTTGGCCTTTCTTAGAAAACACATATATTTAATAATTTTAGGGTTTATAAGTTTGTTGAAGTAAAAAAAAATAAGGCGGTGGGAGATGGCGCGGCGCCAGTACTAGGTAGTCTGTACGTATTCTACGTGTAACAACTTACTAGTGTATTATATTATAATATGTTTGTTATACAATAAAATACGAATATCTTTTTTTATTTTGGCGGCCCCCCTTATTGTTTATAAATGTATAAATTGGCCCACCAACCACAAAAAGTTGGACCCACCCTGTTCTATACAATTAACCGAAATTTGAGTTTTTAGTATTGTCGTCGACTGTCATATTGAATTCGAAAATCGGACAAACATGTTTAATAATATAAATTGACACTCTGACCTCCAGCTGGCGAATAAACACTATAGATGATTATTATCTTGAACTTGAGAGCATGTCATTAATAGGTATGCAGTTTCGTGTGGCATAACACGTTAGACCAGATTATAGCATAGGCCTAAACTGCACACTAGGTAATCGTAAATTTTATTTTAAAGATCGATGACCTTTGGTATTATGAGGATGGAAGGGAACTTTATAGTCCGGATGGATTCACAATAATACCAGTCTTCGTTATATAATCGCAGAAGACACTACTGTGTTTTTAAAATAAGGAGTCATGGGCTTTACATCATTTTGGGTGAGTAAACATGGAAACAAATTTGACGAATTTGAATACATATACTTAATTAATTTACATCATAATGTAACGATTAAAACAATTTAATACTTAATCTAACAATATTATCATCAAATATCAATTTTCCGTAGTTTTATTATGTAAACAAAACAATAGAATTTGTTAATTCGATATTATATAAAATAGGTATATTATAATATTTTCATAAATTAATAAATAACCAATAAATTCTTATAGTAATATCTGAACTATTTTAAAGAATAAAATATCCTATCATTTTTTGTTTTTTCACTTTAATTTTAACCACTTCATTGTAAAATAAATAATTAATTGTTAACTATTATTGATTTATGAATAGTTTAAAACTTAACATCTTGAAATATTTTATTTGTGTTCTTACTTATGTATTTTAACGTAAATGGTTATCTACTGAAAATGATAATCTAAATCACTGATATCATAAATTAAATATTTCATAAATTTACATTAGGTACCTAGTCATTATTCATTTGAATTGCAATTTGTACCCTTTTTTTAAATTGTTGCAGTATATTGGTGTTTGATACTCAGCAGTGGTACTTAAATAAAAAAAATACCAATAAAATTAATTAAAATTAGTTTAATGTAAATAGTATATTAATTATTTATATTGTATACCCCAAAATTCCACATAAACAAACACCTAAATAAATTATATGCTGATTAATTAGTGCCCTGAATGTAATTTTTTGTAGGATTTTGTAATTTGTCTAGATGTGTGTGGAGTGTAACACAGATTGGAATTATTAAAACTAGGTAGCTAATAAATAAAAAAAAAAGGATTTAAATTGGAAAACCGGCAGAAATAGTTGGTTAATAGTTTATAAAATATTTTTAATATATTTTATTAAAACTAAATATATAAAAATTGTATTTTATTTCGATGTTAAAAAATGAATAACCCGTAATATTATAATAATGTCTACCTACTAGGATTTTTCATATTTATAGACTTTAAAATATCATGTATTATAGTGTACTTCTTGAAATATGCTATATATTATGCGTAAACCTTATTTGATTTATGAATACCTACATTTTCTAGACATAGATTTTGGTGCATAATATTATATTGTCATGTAGAAATTGTTAATATGAAATATAGCTATAATTACACTGTCTTGTAATCGCTTTTCTCAATTATGAATAATGATGCTATTATCTGATATCAATATTGATATTCGTTTTCTTAATTAGAAACCAACTTGCCTAAAATGCTAGTGTTATTGAATGCATTACAATTATTGACAATAATTATTCATTACCTACATATTTACGCATTTACATTAATTGTTGGTCATTAAAAATATTCCTAAAGATTAATATATAAGTATATATTTTACTAAAATCTTATTATATATATTGAAATGTAAATATATTATGTACCTTATTGTTTAATGTCTTATATTATTTTTTAATTTTTATCGTTTTATGACTTAAATACCTATATATTGTGCACACTGATGTAAAATTTCATATATTATTATATTATTAATTTATAAGTATTTTTTATCCCAACGTACGTTGACCCTAAACCGTAATACAGGGTGTCACGTAATGATGTACAAAACGAGCTAACGTATAGTATATTATAGTATAGTAACGTGTAATATAAATACTGTTTTCCCACAGTGTTTAATAAGTTAAATCTTCGTGAAACACCTTGTATGTTATAATGTGTAAATCAAAATGTTATTATTACAATACAATGTAACTCTTAGATCTAATTGTTAATACTGAATGTAAGACACAATTGAATAAACGGTGATCATGTTTACTAATTACATACTTTTTTTATACATTTACTTTTAGATTCTTGTGGTTTTCGTAGTGTGTTTCGAACAATCCAGCATCGCAAACCACGTCAATGTACTCGGCAAGAACGATCCTGGCAGATCAAGGTGAACGTCATCATTATTATACGTGTATATAATTGACTGACTGTAACTATAAACATTTCTAGAGAAAGAACATATATTTTTTTTAGGCTTGTAAGTTAGGAATTTCGAATAAAATAAATTATAAACTTCATATATATATACACACGTGGATTATATTATTATAATTTTATAAAGAGTGTAAATCAGGTTTTATGAGTTTGCACCAAAACTGAATTTGATGTCCAGGAATCGGGATGGTTATTTTATCGTTAGGCTAATCGTTATTAATTTAATCGCCATTTATAATTAATTCAACGGTGTATTAATTTCAGACCAAAAAAATCGGTTGATGCTGAAATATATGTTGCAATTCCGCCGGATAACGTTAAAACTGGCAAACAAGACGGCCCTCCGACGTTGATACGCTTGGATCCAAATTCTCCAAATAAGTTCAAGGGCAAGTTTCCGACACCAATCGAACGTTTTATTCAACGCATACAAAACTATTTTTCCGTATATAATCCACCAGAGTACTTGAATGACTTGAGGCCCGGCATCAATAATCAGGAAGAAGACTATGGGTACCAGCCGTTAGAATCGTCAAACAATACACAGATACTACTACCATGTAATGGTACGAGCACGATAGTGATCATTCCTGTGCCGTTGGAAAATGAAAACGTTTCTTCCGATCAAAATGCGTATCCAGAAAAACCTGACAATTATATAATAGCGCCCACGACATCGAAACCGAATTGCCCGGAAGATGTAACTACAACGAAACCGAAATGTCCTGAAGTAGTAACGCCGAAGCCTAACTGTGTGGAAGTTACTACTCCAAAACCAAACTGTCCGGAAGTGACCACTCCAAGACCAAAGTGCCAAGAAGTCACTACTCCGAAACCAAATTGTCCGGAAGTGACAACTCCAAAACCAAATTGTCAGGAAGTGACAACTCCGAAACCTAACTGTCAGGAAGTGACCACTCCTAAGCCTAACTGTCCGGAAGTAACCACTCCAAGACCAAGGTGCCCAGAAGTCACAACTCCGAAACCCAACTGTCCGGAAGTAACCACTCCAAAACCTAAATGTGTGGAAGTTACCACTCCAAAACCTAACTGTCCAGAAGTGACCACTCCAAAACCAAATTGTCCAGAAGTGACCACTCCAAAACCAAATTGTCCAGAAGTGACCACTCCTAAACCTAAGTGCCCGGAAGCAACAACTCAAAAACCACCTTGTCCTCCAAAACAAATTTCAACAGCAAGTGATCCTAAACCTATATCTGGATACGGACCTACTGAAGCTCCTCCACTGAACTTAGTAGCTCAGCCCGCTCTTGGTTCTACCGTTCTTTATTTTTACAAACAACCCACAACATCACCACCCTATAACCCACCTGTTTATAATCCGCCTGCAGTTTATAATCCACCGGCTCCCGCATATTACATACCGAATACTCAGTTGCCTTACGAAGAAACCACCCGAAGACCCAAGCCGCCTATTTTACGTTTAAAACAGTTACTATTCCCCCGTCTGTATGCAGCTTTTCATCCTGACGAGTGATGAATATCTGAAATTGTATTATAATGTAAGACAAAAAAAAAACAAATTTTTTATACGAACGTGTTGGTAACACACATGAATACCCAATGATAATTTCTTATTTAATAACGAGTTAAATCTATTTTTAATTTTTAATTATTTATATTTATTTTCATACTATATAAACATCTATTATGTCAATATCGGTAAAAACGTGACGATTTCACTAACGCCATGTAAGTACCAATAACAATTTAGTATATAATAAATTAACGTCATACGTTTATATATGTGTCAAATGCGATTTCAGATTTACATTGGAATTTTCTAAAGTCATATACCTAGTACTATGTTTGTTCCCTGTAATAATGAAAATACTGAATAATTATTTGTGTTTTGAAATAATAGGTATTTATTTTATATTTGTGTTCGACGTACATACGACTACCCTTTTCTGAAACCTGCTCTGGCGATAGCTGTAATCTCCACGTTGAATATATTTAAAAAAGAAAGTCCTTTCAGTCTACACGCGACTCTCGTGCGATCGTGATACAGCGTCTGCTATGAAATATTGTAATAAATTGAAACAAATCTAAATATATGTTTTAGTTATTGTTCACGTCTTCCAGGGAATATTTAAATATAATTACTAAAATTAAACGTAAATAAAACAAAATTAATTAATATCATAAAAAAACAACATGAACGGACACCGGATAAACAAACTTTACTATTGTGTAAGTAATATTTTTCTTTTATATACCTACCTACTATTACCTCACATGATATTTAATGCATTTTTAATTATGTAGGTAATATATTTACTTTTAACAGATAATAAATATATAATAACATAATTATAATACATTACAATTGATACAGATTTAAAATAATGTACCTATGATATTTTTTTCGTAATACAGTAAAACCTGTGTAATATGGAAACAGTTGGGACCGGATATTTTTTCCATTTTAGACAGGTTTCCATTTAATGCAGGTTGTAAAAAAAAAAAATTCACGATGGGTAGATCTTTATTAAATATACATAATTTATAATTTATATATTTTTATATATTTTACATATTATTATTATATTATATTTTACTCCAAAATTCATCCAATGTTTTTTGTTTTGTTATTTGACTTGCCATTTTCTTTTCTACTAAATTTTTCAAGTTGAGAATTGATTCAAGAAGTTCATTTTCATTATTTTGATCCAATGCGAACATTTCTAATCGTTTTATTTCATGGAGGGCGTTCTTATACGTTTTAATATCATTGCCGTGCAATGGTACATTATCTGTTTCGTCTTCGGAACTGGATTGTTCAACGTCTATTGAAGTGCAAGGTTTCACTGTAGTATCAGCAATAATATCAGTATCATTAGTACATAAATGCTTATCGATGTTAACATATTCATCACTATCTACTTTTTCATTTATTGTAGAACATAGCAATTTAAAATCGTTATCGTTATCGTTAATGGCATCTGTTGGCTGGTCCAAAACTAAATTAAACCCGGCTTTTATGAAACATTTTTTGACTGTATCTGGTTTTATTAAGTTTACAGATTTATTCAACCAATAAATTGCATCTAGTACATTAATTTTATTGGTATATTTTTTGCTCTAGCACTTACAAACCACTCCCAAGTCAAATTATTAATTTCTTCATTAGCGTTGGATTTTGGTTTTCTTTTCATTCGCCCATTTCCTAAAATTAAAAAATATACGTACATATAGAATTTTGAATTTTACATTTTTATAGTTAAGCTTATTGCATACCATTCATCCATTGTTCTTTTATTTCATTTTTTTGCTTTAATATATTATACACTTGACTTTTTCCACATTTGAAAAGTTCACAAATTTGTTTTACTGTTAATTCATCTTTTTCACTTGACTCAATTAGTTTAATTTTTTCATTTAGTGTTAAACATTTATTTTTGGACGTCATATTGAATATAGGTCTATACGCAGTCTACGTCAGAACACTACTACGACACTTATCGATAAAATAAACTTATTGCAACGAAATAATCTATATAATTGATATAGATTATATTCATTGACTGATAATTTTAAAATAGTACATGTACATATTTCCATGATACACAGGTTCATGACAAAATATTGTTTCCATTTCCACGTTAAACAGGTTCCATCTTATTCAGGGAACGATGTATTTAAAATTACATTAGGATCGCCGGGACCGTAACATTTTTCCATAAAAGTCAGGTTTCCACGTTATTCAGGTTCCATATTACACAGGTTTTACTGTATCTATTGAAATTGAAGTATTTCTAAATACATACCTACAAATTGTAAAACGTACATTCTGAATATTATTTTTTGGAATATGATAATTTATATAGATAAGTCAACACAAAATAATTATTATTTAATAATCACAAATTAGTCATAGTTATTCATATTATACAAAAAACTATGAATCACATTGAAAAGTACCATAACAATTATTTTATTTTAAAATGCTATTTTCCGCGTTAGATACTTAAAACTTAAATTATAAAGTTTAAAACAAGAATATTTTCAAAAACACCTAACCTATATATTAAATATTGTGCTACATCTACCTACCATATTTTTGCATTATCTATACAATAAAATTGAATTTAAGTATACAAGTGTGTTTAAGCTTTTATTGATGCAATATATAGAAGTATTAACTATACCATGTATAATTATTAAAGTAAATATTAATTGAAATATTGCCTATATTTATATTTTTTTTTTTAGTTATTAATTTATTTCTTCAAGTTACGAATAATTCAGATTTTAACGATAAAAATTATGAGTTTTTACAACTAAAATTCTAAAACACAAAATTTAGATGCATAAACTAACAAGGTAAAAAACATATATATCTAAATGCGAAAAAAGTCAAGCATAAATGCCTAATAAATAAACGAACATTTTAAGGAAATATGTTAAAAATCAAAATAAATAACAATCAAGGTTCATATGAATAAATATATATAACTGTTTATAACTATTATAATCCATAGTTGTATTCTGGATTAGGTCGTTGTACCCACAATAATAATTGTATTTGTCTTCTAAGTAAGACAGTGAGACAGATAGTTAGGATTGTAAATTTCAATCTATATAATTGTATATTATACTACTATGAATCTTTAAACGTTGATTATAATATATTATAATTAGGTATAGCTAACTGGCCCAGCCGACGTTGGCCTGCCCTTTCCGGTATAGGTGCGAGATAATGTGTTAACAATAGGTATGCAAAATAAGTGTTGACAATAAATATATCTAACGGGAGTCTAAAATAATTGTTTATCTAGTATTTTTAGTATTTCATACATTCAGTAAGTACAGTGATGTCAATACTCCGAGCGATTCTACAATGCTTTATTATTATTTTGTACCTACTTTACATGCCATTAATTATGATCACTTCTGAAAATATTTACATTTACCTATGTAAATAAAATAGGAAACACGGCAAGGGTCTGAAACGCAATTAACAGTGTCATTCAATTTTTTTTCGTTTTGAATTCCAATGATGCAAAACTTTCTCCTAGACCATGAGACGAACACAAGTTGTGACATTGGAAGTAAATCCATCATAAGTCTCCGAGTGTCTCGAGAGATGAAATAAAATTCCCTTGAGAAACCACGATAATATAGCCCTGAGCAATCTACAATATAACTATACATTTTAACTAATTAATAATACGGAGATACAAGTATACAACATAATATTGTGAATAATTAAACCGTAAATGAATGCTATTAATATTAGCTAGCGCCCTAGCAGGAGAAATAAAAACATATTAACAGTTTTATGAGAAGATGCTAAATTAATTGAATTTGTTTATTATTATTTAGTCTATGTATTGTTTATATTTTTAACATAGATATGTTTTTGGGCTTTGTAAATTTTTTTTTCCTTACCGATTTTTGTAACACTTTGTTGATTGCCATAGAAACAGATATCAACAATAAAAAAAAAATGTTAATTAAATTCCTAACAAAATGTAGCACGCTACTAAAGATATTTTTCCACTGCACTATAGGTACCTAAAATCATAACTTTTATTGCTCAATTTTCCTTGCAGAGGGAATAATTTAATCTATAGTAGCATGCTATACTTATAATGTATACGAGTTATTTGTGTTCGTCATCATATTTTCAACCATGAAAAAATTCTTTAATCTAGTTGCTACTTTGGTGCCCCCGGGAGGTCTGGTCAAAAGTAGAAAAATTGCCAGTTGTTTACAAAATAGTTGGAAAAAACTAAAATAAAATTACGAGAAAATATAATATGGAAGCCTGTTTTTGACAAAATACATTTTGTAATCTTGTTTAATTCAAAAAGAAATCACTGCAGGTACTTAAAATTCTCGCAAAACATTTAAATTCGATTTTTCTAGACACTATGTAATTTAAAAATTATTTCGGCTCTTTTTACGATGATTATTATTATTATGTTATAAGTAGCTACCATATTATATTGGTGTCATTTTAACATGGATATATTTTTGGGCTGGGTACAACTTTATTTCTGACCGATTTCGAGTTAGAGGACCTAGGTTTGCCTCTGGCATAATAGTATAATATGATGAATACGTTGCCACCATAGCCACCTCTCGCTTTTTTTTAATTAAGTATTTTTTTTTTAAGATCCGTAAAGCATATTATTGTTTTTCCATGCAACGGAGAAAATATCAAGTTTTTTATGAATCTGGTTTCTTGAAATTTTTATACACTTAAATACATTTAAAACAGGATTAATTTTATTCTTAAATAAAATGAACTGATTATTATTTGTAAGTTGTAAATGCATTAAGCCTTAATTCTATATGACCGATACCAAAATATTTAAACAACTTTCAATTATGGAAAGCGGAATACGGAGGCGTTCCTCAACAGTTACAAGATAAAATACAACACATTAATATGTGTGATCAATTGATTGTTTGAATTGTTATTTATATTTATTTTATAGATATTTAATAAAATACTAAGAGATATTTACATGAGATTATTGACTATAAGCAGTAAAGAAGATTCATCATGAATCTTGATTTTTCTGTCTGATAAAATTCTTATTTGCCGTAAGGATATAAAAAACAATTAATAAAACGAAATATTTACGTTGTGTTCTGCCTACGCAATGATGTAAATATAAATTTCCAACTGAGAGGAGGGCTATGCTATGAATATATTATTATATCTCATAAAAACAATTTTCTAGTTTTACGCGATATGTAAAAAGTTTAATTTTTACCACCAATTTTGATAGTTATAATTTTCAAGATTTTTACTTTTTTGAATGACAACATGTATTTTAATTTCATATTTCAAAGCAGAAATGCCAAAATATTATACCGAGTATCTTGAAATATAAATTCGGACGTGTTATTTTAGTTAATTAGTTATACTATTAATTATTATAGTATCTAAAGTTTAGATAAGCGGACTTATGGACCAGCATTTTGAGAGGTACCTTTATTACCTACCTATGCAACTATACTCCACTCGTCTAAACTTAAAATACTTGTAACTTGTAAGTTATAACTCATTAACTATTTATATAATAAGCGTCGTACCTACTTCGTGAAATCTATCTTTTCATGAAAAGTTGTCCATTTCATGAAATGGTCACTTCAACTTTACATCATGAAATAAAACATTTACCACACAAAATGAATTTCATTATTTACTTGTCATAATATAGGTACTTTAATTACTTTGATACCACACAAGAATTTTTACATAGTTACTACTTAAATTTAAGTTGTATTTTAAGGACACATAAACACAAGTTATACACAGTGATATTTATAAATATTAAATATATATATACCTAATAAAAATATAACTTATTTGAAAAATAAAAGATGTAAGTACGTAGACTTAGTAAGAAAAATAAATTAAATTATGTAGATAAATATCTATAGATATTGCCTAATAATATTACTCGATGCCGAGTATCGGACTAGGATACGAAATAACGATCACCGCAATACACGAACACGTAGGTACCTACTGATTTTTAATTCTTCGTGCAACGTAGAATCTACGTAATATGGTTAAGTTTCTAACCGTACGATTGTCGATAACAATACTAAATCGATAAAGATACTTCTAAAAAATAAAGATTATTCATATTGGGAAATATTTTTTTTTAAACATTATCCAAACAAAATATTGACCGACAATATTAAGTACATTTAAAAAAATAATATAGGTAATGATCATTTACAAACATGACAAAATATGATAAGTCAAACTTTGTATTTAATTTCAATTTTCCCACAACTTTTGATATAATATCTTACTTATAATAATGTACTAATACCTATAACAATTACAGGTACAAGTAGGCTAACTACCTAACCTATTTAAATTATTTCTAAATATATTTTTTAATTTATAACCATCAATAAATCAAGAATTAAGTATATCAAAGAGTTTACACTAATAATATTTTATTATGATGAAAGAAAAACTATCCTCAAGACAATACGTTACGTTAAACCTTTTTAGTGTTTGTTACATTACATAGGTACTTATATCATTACAATCTCAAGCTACCTCTATAATTGCCTAGGTATTAATCTATTCTTATAACACAATACAGTTGTGTGATATTGATACTTAAATATTATAAAAAATATATTTTGTATAAAGAAAATATTATTTTTTAGCTATTTTTTCAAACGTGCTATTGGTTATTCCAATCAATATATTATATTTGTGATGGCTGCCTACTTCAATCTAAATTGGAAAATCAAAAATTAGCAATAAAACGTGTACCTACTTATAATCATTCAAATTGTAAAATTAATTATTCATCGATTAAAGCTTAAACACTCTAAAAGTCTAAAGCCGAACAGAAAATATTTGTCGAAACGATGAATTCCTACTAAAATAGTGTTTTTGGGTTTTACATTTTACCATAAAAT